TAACACAACTAGCGCTGGCCGTATAGTTGTACTTAACACCCTGATGTTTTAGACGGCCTGTCTCGCTCACGTCCAGACATCTGGATGTCACCTGGCCCACGTGCAGACATCTAGATGTCGTCTGCTGTGTTAGACCTGCGCCTGTGTGTCCTGGAGTATCGCTGGTCGCCGCGGGGTTACGTCATCAAATCCTGTCTTTCGGGCATGGCGATTTCCAGGAAGTTGGTCGTCAACGGTAATTATCTTTTAATTACAGCTGAGGTGTCATTTAGATCGGGCTCTGCTGTTCTAGAATTGTTACAGAAATATTGTCAAATCGTGTGTTTACATTACTGTGTGGGGGGTGGGGGGGTGATGACCAGGTCACTGGGTTAAACTACCACATTTTTATCGGATAAAATTTAACCTTAGTAGGCGTGGATGAACTCGCGGCAAACAAATATGTGAAGACAGGTGTGTATAGAGGGGTGTACGTTGTGTTTCCTCGAGTGTAGTCACGAGCATCGTGTGTGTTGTCGTTAGACAGGTGAGGTAGAAGGTCTCTGGAACTGACTCACCCACCTACTCGTGTGACCGTGTCAACCACTTTTAGCATCAGCTGATTTTATGTCAGCCTTACAAGCTCGGCTGACCCAGTCTGATAAGGAAACATTCAACTCGCTACACACGTACACGGGTCAGTTAGGTGTGCTCATCATTCAGCTCGCTACACACTTACACGGGTCAGGTGTGCTCATCATTCAACTCGCTACACACGTACATGGGTCATTTAGGTGTGCTCATGAAACATTTAAGTAGTTACACACTGACACATGTCAATTAAGTGGGCTTATCGTTCAACCAGTTAACAAATTGACATTGAATTTAGGTGTGCTCATCACTTGATTATTAACATTGGGAGTCAGTGTGCTCACCACTTGGCTATTTATAGCCCGCTAGTGGTGCTCTGCCGCCACTGTAGCAGTTGTCGAGTGCAGGTGAACCCTGTCTATGGTACCTGTAAAGTGCTCCGGTATCACGTATTCATATTGTAGAACAAGGTTATCAAACTGGTGCGACCAATGCACTTCGTATTTAATGTACAACTATCAAAAAACCTAATTTCGCTGTCAACGTCTAATCCTTGCAGATTCACAGATTTCAACAACAAAAAAATGTCACTAAAGTTCTATGTAAATATTCACTAGTGTCGCATGGGTCCGATGTTGAATAAGTTTAAGAATCCCTGATGACGCAGTGGATACACTCTTGGAATAACCTTCTTTGTGCGACAAGACTGGCAGGTGAATTGCTTTTTGTGCCGTCTCTCACGTACTAGCCCCCAGAGAGATTAGCTCTATACAGGCTGTCATCTGCACCCCCACCCCACCCCTTGATCAATTCACACCTGCACGTACACTTTGAAATTTTAAATTCATAGGCACCCCGGGCCTCGCTGTGGTCAAGGTTAAAGTTATTACATCATTTTAATCCTTTAAAAACTTGAGGAGTAACCTTGACGTCATGGTTATAAATACATGCAGTGGACCTTACCTGAGATAACGATCTGTTGTGTGGAGTGCATGTGGTGATAGATGACTTGCTGTCGTAGTGGATTGTTCCATTCGATTGATTGATTGTCTCAACGGATTTAGGAGTTATTTAATACATTGGTGATTGTTTCTGTGGATCGTTTTTTGTTTTCATGGTCAGTTAAATCAGTGGATAGGTGTGACCGACTTGACCAATATAGTTAATCCGCTAATCCGCTGTTGTTCTGGTTCAAGTGTATTAAATCCACAAAGGTGTGAGATGTGGTTGTTTTGTTGGTTTATTAGACCACAATAGTGTGAGATGTGGTTGTTGTGTTGGTTTATTAAACCACAATAGTGTGAGATGTGGTTGTTGTGTTGGTTTATTAAACGTTCAATGTGTGAAACATCTTGTCACCTGGTCTGGTACAGGTTTATTAGACCATCAAGGTGTGAAAGGTATGGTGTAACGGTCACGTTTAACCGTCATAAAGTTTGATGGATGAAACCCCATCGATACATCACCTCGTGACAGGCCATGCTCACCCTCACGTAGACCATCACAAACTTTTCAGTTTCCTGGACAAACTTTATATAAATACATTTTTGTTTTGTGTTAGATTTCCTGGCCAAACTTTATATAAATACATTTTTGTTTTGTGTTAGATTTCCTGGACAAACTTTATATAAACCACACTGTTGTTTTGTTTTACATTTCCTGGACAAACTTTATATAAACCACACTGTTGTTTTGTTTTACATTTCCTGGTCAAACATTATAATCAACGTTGTTGTCTGGTATCAGATTTCAGTGAGCTAATGTACGTGTGCTGCTTGTGTATAATTCTAGTGTTAAACCACTGTGCACTTCCCTGGAATGTGACTAGAATCCGGACTGTGCTATTAATTTAAACGTTAATCGATGTGTTCCAGTATTATAGGTGCTCTAGACTGACATTTTTTTTACTTGTTAAAATATTTAATTGACAGCTGCTATCAGTGTAGATGTTTAATTAAAGTAGACTTAGTGTGTCACACAGAGCAATTAGTTTTTGGTGTAGTTGTTGACAGGGGTGTATGGTAATCACGTGATTGGTTGACAGTATGCACCCGTTGTCGGGGCCGTGACGTGGATTTAACTTTCGCTAATTAACATTGGACTGTCATTGAGGTTAGGCTCCTGTGTTTACCCACATTCTACAGCCATCTCGTTGTTGGGCTAAGTTGGTGGATTTTGTAAACGTTGGGGGATCTGGTGAGGTAATCAAAGAGATTTCACGTGTGTTTGTTGTGTTAGAAGATTCGTAGCTTCGTTTTTAAACTACTTCCAAGGAGTATGTTGCATACACTGGTGATATGTATGTATGCGTACATTGTCAGCAGCTTAGATTCGCGTAGATAATGTGCTAATTTTTTATATTAAAAAATGCGTTAAAACACTTGTAATATTTGTTTAATAGCATACTACGTACATGTGTAATGTTTTAAAAAAAAAACTTATATCAGGTATTCTTTTATAATTACGCACAGTGTGTAGATAGTTTTGAGCTCTATATCGGGTGCGATTGCATAATTGTACATCATGTCGAGAGTTTTAGAACCGTTGTACCAGGTGCTAATGAGGTACCTGTGGCCAAGATTTGGCAAGGTTCCACGGTGCAGTGACATGACGTGCAAGTCTCGGGGCCCAAACGTTTCACTCAAGTGACCCCCTAGTGTTGCCTTATAGACACTTCTGTAGCGTTTTATTGCTGCTACAGTTTATATTGGATCCTTCTTTATTTACGTAATCGTATCCTTACTCAACAGGATTGTTTATAATAACGATTATTTTAGATAGAGTTTAAGTCGTTTTTGCTGGAGTTGTATAGTTTTGCACAAATAGTATATTTTTATCGGAATAGTATATTTTTTTATCGGAATACTATGTTTTTAAATCGGAATAGTATATAATATTCAACCTGCTGTTTATTGTGTCGCATGTGTGAAACATGCTTTGTGTCGTATGCACCCTGCATGTTATGTACCTTCAGCAGTTCCTCGTGTAAATCCTACAACACGTTTCCAGAAAGTACACTCCATCGACACGTTAGTCCAATATGTGTTCCAGGTGGTTGTTGTTGTTTTCTTTAGTGGATATGTGGATCGTTTACAGAGGTTAGGAAACCACACAGTTAATCTGGTTCCATCTCATTCTTGTTGCTAATTACAAGCTTTTATTTAATTTGCTTTCTTGTGCTTGATGTTTCTGTCTGTCTGTCGTGATTCATCATCCGTCATGTGTCGAAACTGGCGAGCGAAATTTTGATCACTTCTAACTGATCAATTTCTTTCTAACTTGGGTTAAGATCCGTTGTTAATGCAGTGTGACATCTGATTGACTTAATTGGATACTTCATTAATTTTCAAAGAATTAATTCAAATTTCCTATATTTAGTACTATTTTTCGAGCTATTATGCGCACACTTTGTTACTTTGGCGCGCAGTTGTTTTTAGTTATGCGATTCTATTGTATAAAATTTTGTAAAGCTTTGGGATAAAAAAAATTAATAAACAAGCAATTATATTTAAAGAAAATCATTTATGTTCTACTTATATAAAAGCCTTAAAACGTTTTTTTTTTAATGTGTTTTCTCTTCGTTGATAATTTTATTTCTCTTACTTTCCCGGCAGTCGAAAGAATATGTTAGTTTAGATCATTTACAAAGTTACAAAGTTTTAAGCCGATATTTATTCGCATCTGTTACACTTGCCCTAATCTCCTTTTTAAGTTCTGATTCTAGGCCCGTCTGCTGATAACGGCCTAGACAAATCCGGTCACGCCCGAGTTACGTGTCTCCCATTTCTTTCAGTGACGTCATCAGTGTAAGATTCTCGCGGGATTTCATTTTCTGGAATAGATTATTACTGGCTTGAATGAAGCTTTAAAAAACCAGCAGCATTAGTCTACTATTTCACATCGGTTTAACAAAAATCTCTTGCTGAAAATATCTGAGTCATTGCGTCATCCTAGAGTAAATAGAAAAAAAAGCTAAGTCATGTTTTCGTGATGTATGTCCCAGTGAGGAAGTTGTAACGTGAATGGTAGAGGGAGCGGTGACCTTCGTGGTTCCCCCTCCAAACTTGATATCTCTGTGACTCGGTTCTTGGAGCACTGACGTCATGGGACCAAACTCTCTGGTCTTTATTCTTTCTGCTACAAGACAGGCCGTAGAACACTTTCATCATTGCGACATAATTTATTTTTAAACGGATCAATGATTTCATGTGCAATGAGCCCTTCCCATAATGTCAGTGTGTTAGTGGTGTTTGTCTCTCGCTGCCCTAGCTATGCTTGAAACTTATCAGTCTGGTGCTAGCAAGGAAGTAGATATCAAGTATCTGGTAGTTTGTGAAAGTATCTGTGTGGCAAGAGAGAGTATCTGAGACTGTGTAGCAAGAGAGAGTGTGTGAGAGGAAGTGTCTGAGGGGCGTGACTCACATGACGACACAAAGAGCCCCGTTACACGACGGGTTTGTTTACTTGTGATGTCACTAGCCGGCTGTCAGGAGACACTGACATGACAGTTTCATATATGTTTATTCTCATCTAACCAGCACTGGAGAGCCTAATTACACACGCAGGTAACACACGCTAATTAGGTTGATTTGGTTATGTTGATTGACTTTGGTTCGTGGATTGAATAAACAAACGTTGAACAGATGTGGTGGCTGCTCCCTTAGGACATCCGTGTAACGTTATACGCGAGCTGTGCTGTGACCCAGTTGAGTATTTGCTTAATGGCGTGTTAATGACGGCAGATTCGTAGCGTGGATAATTCCTACACGGCAATGTCGTGTCCTTGTGGCTAGCGGCGCTGGTGTCGGGGGGAGCATGTTGACCAAGGTGTACCAGCTGCAGCCGGACAGTGGCCAGTTGCTGCTGTTCTGTGTGTGTGAATCATGCCAGCAGGTGACCAGTGTCAAGGTAGTGGACCTCACGCCCAAAGGGGAAGGTAATACATCAGTCCTGGTACACTGCCCTTGTGTTTTGCTTTTTTACATCTCCACAGTACTGATGTATTCACATATATTGTGATATTTTAGTCAGATGTATTCACTTATAATGTGATATTTTAGTCCTTCATTTTTATTATGTTGGGTTTTTATTACAATAATTAGATAGATCTAGGTACATAAATGTGTTTCATTTGGTAAACTTGATTAGCATTTATATTATTTTGTTTATATAGAAACATTTAGTATTGACTTGGTATGTATTTCGCCTAAACCCTCGGATTTTCTAATACATATAGGCTACAGATATTGCTATAGTCTCACTTAAGACTATATACACTCCTATCAAAATAAAATTGTACTATAGACACTCTTATCTAATTAAAAATATTGTACTTTAGACACTCAGATCTACTTAAATTTTTTATTATAGACACTCCTGTCTAAATTAAAATTGTATTACTGTGATTCCTATCTAAATTAAAAAAAAATTATTTCAGACACTCATATGTAAACTAAAATGTTATTACAGCCGCTGGTATCTAAATTTAAATGTTGCTTTAGACATTGTAAAAAAACAGGCACTGTTATTGAATAATGTTACTGTTTAAATACTGAGTTTAATTTGGAGCCTGATGTGTTATATTTAAAAGTTTGTATTCATCACCACGAGTTTTGTAAATAAATGATTTCTAAGTTTTGGCCTTGTAATTCTGCCATAACCTTAGCCTTTTACTCGTGAGCCAGACTTATCTTAGACTAACCCTTCTGTAACATTCAGCTGTCTGTCATCTTGCCTTGTCTATGTTCCTGACGTACCTGACTTCCAGACCTACCTATCATCTTAACCTTTTCAGTCATCTTACCTGTCCATCTTGACCTGCCTGTCACCTTGACCTCTGTCCTCGTCACTTACCTGTCACCTTAACCTGCCTGTCACCTTAACCTACCTGTCGCCTTGATTTGCCTGTCACCTGGATCTTCCTGTAACACTATCCTAACCTTATCATTCCAGTGAAGGCTGCTGGTGTGGTGTGCCTGATTGGACTGGGACTAAGCCTCGGCACCCTCCTGCTGTACAGACTCTACTTCCGCATCATCGTCCCCTTCCTCAACAGTGTCTGGACCTCCAAGGGCAAGAATGGGCTGCTGGATGATGAGTACACACTTTACCTGGTCAGTACTCATAGCTGTAGCCGTCTGTCTAGCCACATGAGCATCTACCTGTAACCACGCACCCATCTACCTGTAAACACACAACCATTTACCTATCACCACATAACCATCTACCTGTAACCACACAACCATCTACCTGTAACCACACAACCATCTACCTGTAACCACACACCCATCCACATACCCATCTACCTGTAACCACATACCCATATACCAGCAACCACATACCCATCTACCTGTAACCACACACCCATCTACATACCTGTAACCACACAACCATCCACCAGCAACCACACACCCATCTACCTGTAACCACACAACCATCTACCTGTAACCACACACCCATCTACCTGTAATCACACACCCATCTACCTGTAATCACACACCCATCTACCTGTAACCACACAACCATCTACCTGTAACTACACACCCATCTACCTCTAACCACACACCCATCTACCTGTAACCACACACCCATCTACCTGTAACCACACACCCATCTACCTCTAACCACACACCCATCTACCTGTAACCACACACCCATCTACCTGTAACCACACAACCATCCACCAGCAACCACACACCCATCTACCTGTAACCACACAACTGTCTTACCTGTGACCCCACAACCATCTTCCTCTAACCACACACCCATCTACCTCTAACCACACACCCCTCTTCCTCTAACCACACACCCATCTGCCTCTAACCACACACCCATCTACCTCTAACCACACAACCATCTGAATTAAACCACACACCCCTCTGCACGATCTTATTGAGTAAACAGCCTTTTTTTTCTCCATTTTATTCATTCATGTCAAGGTGTGTTTAAATTAATAGTATTTTTTATTGTTTATTTCTTTAAATTGATGCTAATTGTATCTCTATTAAAGTAATTAATGAGCTCAAAAATGGATAATGAGATCAACGGGACCTGGCCTTAAAATTGGGTCACTGATTAACATTTTCACACTTGCTTTATCTTAGAGGTTAATCACGTCGGTTTTTCATCACAATCTTGGGGAAGGGGACTTTGTGGTTTTTGTAATGGAGGTGGGGGCTTAAATTGTGGTTTTAGAGGGGGGGGGGGGCTTAAAGTGTTGTTTTTTAATGGGGAGAGGGGCGGGCTATGGGCCATTTATATGCTGGGGAGGGGGGGGGGGGGTTAAGCTGCAGAATGTTTGCAGTTGAAAAGATGATAAAGATAACACGGTGATTGGTTGGGCTGGTGGCTACAAGACTTGTTTGTGCTGGGTTGATGACGTTTTCATTACTGGGCCACGTACACACAACGTTAGTGGAAACAATCAAGGCAGTGTAGACTTGCTGATCTTAAGAATACTGCTCATACACACAGCACATAGTGACAACTGAATGTAAACATTCGTTGCCATTTTCACATTTCATCATAATTATGCTAATTATCTTGTGTTTACGTAGCTGTTTTCTTAATTGTCTTTTGATTAATTTGTTACAACCACATACTTTAGTTATATGCAGTAACTTAGCTGTATATATATATATATATATATATATATATATATATATATACTAGGCATACTGCCTAGCTTCGCTTAGGTTTTCAAAAACATTTGATAATTTGAATACTAATTATTTGGTGATGGATGAGGTATGGAGTGCTTAAATTTAAACTGTAATGCTAAGTTAAGAGAAGATGTATGTTGTTTCACATCCGCTTGCAGTGAAAATATCAAAAGTACACAATTTATAAATAAAATGGAATTAGAAATACAGAGGTTCCATGAACAGTATATCTCATAATTTATATTACATTGACTTTTAAAATAATTTTTTATTTAATTAATATACATAGCTTAATTAACAACTTATCTTTTTCTAAAACAAATACTATACTTTGTCGTTTTCTGTTTTTGTTTAAAAAAGTGAACAATTATTTGAAAAATAATTATTTTAAAAAGTTACCTCCCTTGAAAATGGACCAAATGACGTATGACTTTGTTTACATTTTTTTTAAACAGTTACTATGCTTATATAAGAAAATATGATATATGAACATATTTGACGACTACAATGGCTTTTTCCGACGGGAATAACGTTTTTTTGTTACCCTCCAGGGTCGGTCTACGACCTCAAATAATATTAATGATCGTTCGTCAATTTATTTATATATTATCTCATATAAGGAGATTTTCACTCGCGGTCATCTTTTAGCCCTGGTCGAGGGCTTTGAGTCTGACCAACAGTTTTTCCATACGGCCTAGTCATCTATAGAAGTGTACGCAAAACATTAGCATGATGTACAGAGGTTAAGTAACCTAAAACTTATGTTGAAAATTCCCTGTTTTTCCCATAAAATACAAAGATTATATAGTGAAATACAACTGGTCAGTTTTGACCCCTTTACAAAGTTTTCCCAGATATTCCGAGTTTTTTGTGACACCCCTAGGTGTTCTTCTACCACCTCACAAAATATCAAGGGGGGTCGTCGGAGGAAATTTTTTTTCGTAATAGAGCTCATATAAAGAGAATTTCACTCGCGGTCACTTTTTAGCCCTCGTCGAGGGCTTTGAGTGTAACCGACAGTTTTCCCTAAAGGTCAAGCCATTTACCTAAGAGCATGCAAAAAATTAGCCAGATATACTGAGCTTAAGTACCCTAAAGTCTGCGTTGAAATGACCCTCTGTTTTTCCCATAAAATACAAAGATTATATAGGGAAATACAACTGGTCAGTTTTGACCGCTTTACGAAGTTTTCCCAGATATGCCGAGTTTTTTGTGACACCCCAAGGCGTTCTACTGCCACCTCACAAAATATCAAGGGGGGTCGTCGGAGGAAATTTTTTTTCGTAATAGAGCTCATATAAAGAGAATTTCACTCGCGGTCACTTTTTAGCCCTCGTCGAGGGCTTTGAGTGTAACCGACAGTTTTCCCTAAAGGTCAAGCCATTTACCTAAGAGCATGCAAAAAATTAGCCAGATATACTGAGCTTAAGTACCCTAAAGTCTGCGTTGAAATGACCCTCTGTTTTTCCCATAAAATACAAAGATTATATAGGGAAATACAACTGGTCAGTTTTGACCCCTTTACGAAGTTTTCCCAGATATGCCGAGTTTTTTGTGACACCCCAAGGTGTTCTCCTACCACCTCACAAAATTTCAAGGGGGGTCGTCGGAGGAATTTTTTTTTCGTAATAGAGCTCATATAAAGAGAATTTCACTTGCTGTCACTTTTTAGCCCTCGTCGAGGGCTTTGAGTGTAACCGACAGTTTTTCCTAAAGGTCAAGCCATTGACCCAGGAGCATGCAAAAAATTAGCCAGATATACTGAGTTTAAGTACCCTAAAGTCTGCGTTGAAATGACCCTCTGTTTTCCCCATAAAATACAAAGATTATATAGGGAAATACGACTGGTCAGTTTTGACCCATTTCCCGATTTTTCCCAGACATGGCGAGTTTTTTGTGACACCCCCAGGCATTCTCCTACCACCTCACAAAATTTCAAGGGGGGTCGTCGGAGGAAATTTTTTTTCGTAATATAGCTCATATTATGAGAATTTTACTCGCGGTCACTTTTTAGCCCTCGTCGAGGGCTTTGAGTCAAAACGACAGTTTTCCCTAAAGGTCAAGCCATTGACCTAAACGTATGCAAAAAATTAGCCAGATATACTGAGTTTAAGTACCCTAAAGTCTGCGTTGAAATGACCCTATGTTTTCCCCATAAAATACAAAGATTATATAGGGAAATACAACTGGTCAGTTTTGACCCCTTTACGAAGTTTTCCCAGATATGCCGAGTTTTTTGTGACACCCCAAGGTGTTCTCCTACCACCTCACAAAATTTCAAGGGGGGTCGTCGGAGGAATTTTTTTTTCGTAATAGAGCTCATATAAAGAGAATTTCACTCGCGGTCACTTTTTAGCCCTCGTCGAGGGCTTTGAGTGTAACCGACAGTTTTCCCTAAAGGTCAAGCCATTTACCTATAAGCATGCCAAAACTGAGCCAGATGTAAAGAGGGTAAGTGCCATAAAATCCGCTTTGAAATGACCCTCTGTTTTTCCCATAAAATACAAAGATTATATAGGGAAATACAACTGGTCAGTTTTGACCCCTTTACGAAGTTTTCCCAGATATGCCGAGTTTTTTGTGACACCCCAAGGTGTTCTCCTACCACCTCACAAAATTTCAAGGGGGGTCGTCGGAGGAATTTTTTTTTCGTAATAGAGCTCATATAAAGAGAATTTCACTCGCGGTCACTTTTTAGCCCTCGTCGAGGGCTTTGAGTCAAACCGACAGTTTTCCATAAAGGCCAAGCCATTCCCCTAAGAGTACGCAAAAAATTAGCCAGATATACTGAGTTTAAGTACCCTAAAGTCTGCGTTGAAATGACCCTCTGTTTTTCCCATAAAATACAAAGATTATATAGGGAAATACAACTGGTCAGTTTTGACCCCGTTACGAAGTTTTCCCAGATATGCCGAGTTTTTTGTGACACCCCAAGGTGTTCTCCTACCACCTCACAAAATTTCAAGGGGGGTCGTCGGAGGAATTTTTTTTTCGTAATAGAGCTCATATAAAGAGAATTTCACTCGCGGTCACTTTTTAGCCCTCGTCGAGGGCTTTGAGTGTAACCGACAGTTTTCCCTAAAGGTCAAGCCATTGACCTAGGAGCATGCAAAAAATTAGCCAGATATACTGAGCTTAAGTACCCTAAAGTCTGCGTTGAAATGACCCTCTGTTTTTCCCATAAAATACAAAGATTTTATAGGGAAATACAACTGGTCAGTTTTGACCCCTTTACGAAGTTTTCCCAGATAAGCCGAGTTTTTTGTGACACCCCAAGGTGTTCTCCTACCACCTCACAAAATTTCAAGGGGGGTCGTCGGAGGAATTTTTTTTTTTTAATATAGCCCATATAAGGCGCCGGTCAGTCGAGGTCAGTTTTGACCCCCTCTCCGTAGACTTTTTGCCGAACCGTCACCGGCCCTCGTGTTCTATCGCCATAAGGCACCTTCGTG